AATTTCCATTGCAGTTGTAACACTTGGAGCAAAAACCTATAAAAAATTTTATCCTTTAAAAATGTTTACATTAGAATTCATCATAATTAGCAATATTAAACGCGCGCAAGCGCGCCAAATTGAGTATTTGATTGTTTGTTATAAAGAAATTAAAGATTAATATTATCAATAATAATTTAAATTTATTAGAATATTATTTCATATTAAATGATAATAATGAAAATTATTATTATATGTTATTAAATTATATATAAAATTGAATTATTTTCCAAATTTTTAATTTAAAATTAAATAAAATTCAAATATTACCCGAAATTTTAATTCAACATCAACTTAAATTAAATTCTTATCCAAAATTTCAATTAAAATTCAAATATTTTCCAAAATTTCGAGTCAAAATTAATTATTATCAAAATTTTCAATCAGCAATCAACTAAAATTAATTATTTTCAAATTTTCAATCAACAATCAACTAAAATTAAATTATTTTCTAATTTTCAAATTAAAATTCAATTATTTACCAAGTTTTCAATTTAAAATAAAATAAAATTCACTTACATCAAATGCTTTGTTAACATGCATCTTCTGATAAAATTTAGGGTCCAAATGATCTGCTGTGAGTTTATGCGCTATTTTAAGAGCCACACTTTTTTTCCACCATCGCCTTTGAGAACAGCACGGAAGTGCTTTTTTTTAGTATTCCATCAGGAGTCTGTAACATATTATCATGCATAACATTTACTGCGTAAGGTTTGTAAGTCCATTTTAAATTTTCGTTAAACATTCTTACCATTATTTCTTCCTTTGACATTACAAAATTACGTAAATTTTTCACCAAGTGCGAAAAATCACTAATAAACCACAAACGCCGGATTTCTGTAGGGTCATTTAATTCTCCTTCTTTTGTATTATCATCGAAATACTTCATCGAAGAAGGGTGAATGCAGCTCACGTCCAAATTTTTTAACCCGAAATTTTTCCACATTCCACGGTTCCACGTCGCACCGTCTGTGGTAACTGCGTCAACGTAGAAACCGCTGTTTTCTAACAGTACTGTGCATTCTGCAATCAAATGGGACAAAACCTCACCATTAGCTGCACCTTTGCTTAAAAATGCTGCTAAGTTTTGGACATATTTGCCGCGAAATGGTTGAAATTGTAAGACGAGAGCATGATCGGCCCGTTCTTTTTTTTTGTCCTCTGGGGTGTGATCCCCAAGGTCAGTGAAACCCATCACTGAAAAGTTATCCGTATCAAAATTGACACCCTCGCTGATTTTCATTTCGTCTAACACTAGAACGCCTACGAAATTATGAAAATACTAATTTAATAAACAATATTATAAACATATTTTTTTAAATCTATTGCAAATTAAATAAATAAATATTAAATAAACAACTGTACCTCTTCTCTCTTCTTCCTTCATCGACAAACTCCTCTTTTCTAACATCTTAAAAACATGTGGATCGAATCCATATTGTGCTTTCATACCTTTTAAATAGGTTTTTAAAGTACGTAATGTTGGTAGTACTAAAATATTGTTGTTTCTTAAATGCAAGTATGCTTTCCTACTTTTAATACTTAAAAGTAAGCATTCTAGAATCCAACGCTTACTGTACCTAATTCCTCTTTTGTCATCGAGTTTCCCATATTTGTAAATGTTTTTTACAATTTCCTGCATTGCAATGGGTTTGTCTTTAATAGCATCATTTAATACACTTTCGTTTTGTCTTGAACAACGCGCCATAAGTTCTTGCACCTCTGTTTGCAAATAGTCAATCTGAAATTTTAAACAATTTATTACCATTAAGATTATTATCATTAATAATAAAATTAATTATTACCTTTTTTCGACATCGACTATACTTTTTCTTAATACTTGTAATTAATTTTCTATCCCTATTTCTTCGCTTTTGCAATCTAATTTCTTTACAACGTTCTTTTTTTTTCTCTCGACGAAATTTAGATTGACAATCTTTGCATTTGTCACTTGCGGAATGCGGTTTCAATATATAAAATCCATTATTACATGAGCCAAAGAAAGACAATGCGCACAATTTTAGACACATAATTTTCATCATTGCTGAGCGTAAATCTTCTAAACATGAAACTCTGTCCAAGATGTGAAAGTTGACAATATTATTGTATGCTCTAATCTGAAAAAATAAGGTAATATATTTAAAATTTTTAATAACAATCAAATTAATTTAAAAAAAATTTAATCAATTTACTTCAACATTCATATCTTTTTTTACTGTAATTGAACGACTAATTGTGTATATATTATCTCCCATATACGCAAAAAAAAGACCATCATCCGCATTGTCAGTCATCCCCCATTCCTTAGGAAATATTGAATCGTCTTTTGAGTTCCAATCTTCCAGCAAATTAATTAAAGTGTAATTTTCTGAATCTTTTGTACTTTGTTCATCAACATTTTCAGAAATTTGTGCTTCATTAATAAGATTAGATTCCTGAGAAATTTGTGATTCATTAATAGGATTAGATTCCTGAAGAGACATAATGTGGCTAACAATGCCAACACTTCGACGAGACCGAGGTGACAATTCAATTTTTTTAAATTGATTTAATCGATAAGACGATTTTTGATCTGAAACAGGAGTCGTTGACAATTCTTCTTCATTTGTACGATCTGCGAGAGGTCTTGTTGACTTCGAGGAGGGTTGTACTTCATTCTATATAAAACAGTAAATAAATTTTATTCTATACAGTTAAATTAATGAAATTAAACAATAATTTAAAATTTTGAAATGCATGTTTAGAAAAAAAAGGAAAAAATATTTAATTTTTACACGAACGTACACATATATCATTCTTTTTTGAAAAATTAACTAGTAGAACAGAGACTAAATTATTAAAAAAAAAATTTAGAAACCTTAATACCTCAAAAATAGTTGGAATGCTTCCAGATTTTAAATTTATCCTTTTCCGTGTCAAGGTGGTAATATTTCCATCTTTCCACATTTCTCTCGTTCCTTCCCTGAGACAATCTTGGGTAAAATGTTTATTACAAATGAATAAACATTTTTTAATCTTCTTGCCTCTTTGTTTTTTGAGGATATCGCCAATAGCCTCTAACCACATATGTTTTGATTCCTTAAAAAAATTAATGTTAACAGATAATTTGAAAATAATATGATAAATAAATATTAATTATTAATAAGGCACGATTTAAATTTTATATGTGTTACTATAATAATAAATACTTACCTCATCTGATGGAAAAGAAAATAGAGAAAATATATGGAGTTTATTTTCTTTACCGTATTTTTCGTCAACTATACAGTCCCTCACGCAGCATATTCTCCCCATTTTTTTTTTTAAAGCAACAATTTTATTAAATATAATCGCATCAAAAAATTTATGGGTAAACCATTTGCCATAACCGCATAAACAGAAACTTAAAAACAGCGTCTGCTACATTTCAAATATTAGTGTCAAGAAAGTATGCGCAGAACACTCAAATTCGTCTGAATAGCAAAGCACGAACGATAAGCCACGCCTTCTAGTGGCTTGTTTGTCACGCCGCATCTTTACAACGGAGTTTCCCCTCCTGGTTCTAGTCTTCTTGATCTGCCTTCAGATTCGTAATCAGCGACCCCGAAAACCTCCGAGTAACAAATTTCAGGAGAAATTAACAATTTCAAAAATTTGTCCGCCGTATTGGATCCGCCATTTTGAATTTTTGAAAACTAACACCGGATTCGTAATCAGGGACCCCAAAAACCCCCGAGTAACGAGTTTCAAGCGAATTGCATTAGATTTTCCAAAAGTCGTCCGCCATATTGGATCCGCCATTTTGAATTTTGAAAAATTAACATCTGATTCGTAATCAGCGACCCCAAAAACCCCCGAGTAAATAATTTCAAGCTTTAAGCCTTTTTTAAAAATTTGTTCGCCATATTGGATCCGCCATTTTGTATTTTCAAAAATGGACTTCAGATTCGTAATCAGCGACCCCAAAAACCCCCGAGTAACAAATTTCAAGCACATTTGAGCATTTTTTTAAATTTCGTCCACTAGGTTATGATTTTGTAAAAAAAATTTAATTTGGACGCCATTTTTGGTACGCCATCTTGAATTTAAAAAAAAACCTTTTACACCATTTTCATGTCTGAACATTTAGGACACGATATTTTAGGGTTTTATGCATCTCCTAAAGCGAATAGCTTCGAAAAATAATAATTTACAATAATTTTCAAAAAACCGTGTTTTTTTCAAAACCATGGCCGTAACTTTTTGAATTTTGATTTTTTCAAAATTTTGAATATGGATTCTGAAAGAGCGATACCGAATACATAAGACACACTTCGTCTCAAATTTTTAAAACTCTTAGTCGCAGAGAAATCTGTCATTGAAAATTGCTCTAAAAAAGTGTCCTTGCCGTCCTTAAAGGGTTAAAAAAAGAGCTTACATTTAAAGTTCAACCCTTTTTTTAATGCAATCATTTGATTAACAGAAGATTTTTAACAACATTACATGAATTTTCTACAACAACAATTTTCCACGGAAGAACATCTTCACCAAATACAATAAGAAATTGGACATCATACAAGAATTAAACATCAACGTCTACTTAAGTATCATTTTCTTTTCTTAGTTTTATTTGAAAAATATCAAAATAAAATTTAATATAAAATAGATTTTAATAATTATATTTTTCATTTATCATTTTTTCTATTTTTTTACCCATTTAATTTATCATTAAAGACAGGAATTTAATATTTATTAATTTCATTACTTCTTGTATTAGTAGTAAAACAAGTAAATAAACAAATAAACTACAGCTTTATCTAAACTCCTTACGAGAATTGAATTTTAATAATCTGTTATTATGGAATTGCATTATTGCCATTTCAAATAATAGAATAGATGTATGTTCTTTAAGTAGAGATGACAATAAACTAAATATATAATAATATTCTAGATATTTTTAACAAACTGAAAAAACTTTAGCATAACAAAATAAAACATAATACCTTATTAAATTCGCTTGAGAAAGAGGCATACTGTTTCGTTGATCAATACCATAAATTAAAATGCGAATCAACGTGTTTCTATTAACATTATTTAAGTAATTGTTTGTCGATTTTGAAATTGTATCAAAGTTGTTAATGACTCCTGCTTCAATAACACCTATAATGTAATCTGTTAGGTTGCTCTGTATTTTAACTAGGAAATCTTCAATATCCTCAATGACAGCATTCCTTAAATATAGGGCGACCACATTATTAACTTTCAGTAATGTAAGTGATATGTTTAAAGATGTCGAATGAACACCGTCGAAAGCGATAACTGTAACAGTATCTGTGACTTTTACATTAAGACGAACGTAAAGACTTCCTGAGTTTGGGTGAATATAGAATGCAAGATTTTCTACTGTACTGTACGTAATTGTTGCATTTTCTCCTAAATCCGCATCTGTTGCCTATAAAATAATATAGAAATGAGTTATTAAATCTGCTGTGAATCTAAAGAAAATGTATATTCGATTTGTATTTTAAAGTCAAAAGAAGATATAGAATGAAACCGGTTTATATTTTCTTTTTACCATTGTTTGAAAACTTACCACTTTTGAGTAAAATGGACAAGCTCTATCGATAAATGCAAAAAAATTATAAATTTTAATTGATCATAATTTACACTAAATTTTAAATAGCACCGCATTGCATGCACAAAATCATAGAGAAAATTGTCGGCTGGGTTCTATGTACATTGGGTCAGTATTTCCTATTGATGAAAGCGTACTTTCAGGATACAGAATTTCACTATCTACAGCAATTTTGCAATTTATTATGTAGGGGAGATGTATGCAGGTTGAGAAAGTTAGATATTATTTTATATATAACTAATAATACCAAATCGACTATTAGTATTCTTTTTTTCATTAGCAGCAAACTATTTATATATGACAAAAGTTGTAACTCGTAGTGTTCCCGCCGGAGCACATCAAAAATGTTCAAAAAAAAATTGTTTTATATCATCATTTTCGTTCTATTTTAACATTCCAATGGAATTTCAAACATATCTTAACACCGATAAAAAATTTCATGTATCATCAAAATATAACAGTGATGTATGCTGGTTGAGACGCGGGGAGTCACTAGACTTTATTTCGACAACTTAATAGTTATTCTAAAATAAAAACTTTTATTAAATTCCGTAAATGAGGCATTCTCTGAGCAAAAAGCCACCCTAAAAAAAGTTTTTTTTGGCAATGAAGTATGTTGAAGTGTACATAAAAACAAGTATGTAGAGTAGGTTTTTAGGTCTGTGTAATGCGTGGTTGCCATGTTTTCAGGGGCTGAATTTTTTTACAGGGTAATTTTCAAATGGCAATATCTTTTTTCCATATTAATGGATTTTAAAATTTTATAGGTGTTTTTTGTAGAGAATTTTCCAAAGTTTTAAATAAAATTATTGATTATTTGAAAAAAATTATTTTTTCCCCGAAAAAAGCAAAAAAAAAATCTTTTTTCAATGCCCCCCCCCCTTTCCCCCTTCAAATTTTTTCAAATATACCTTAAAATGTTCCTTATTTCATAAACTTTTTACCACCCAAGTTTCATTTTGGGACATTCATATGCGTACGAGCGACAGGTTAATATGTGATGCGGTGCAACTCATCAATTTTGCAATTAAGTTTCTCCTGTGGTCGTTAATATTATTTTTCTTCTTCAAACTTGTGACTGTATATCTAATTATGCATGTGTGTTATATTTTCACTCATCTGCATTTCGCGTAACCCAGGATCAACGACGTGGACGTAGCAGATATTTAATCCTTTTTTTTTTTTTTTTTTTTTTTTTTTATAATAATTTTTTTGTGTTTTGAAAGTTTTATAATTTTTTTTGTATTTTTAACATTTTCCCTAAATTTTCATTTTTTGTAATAAAAAGAATTTTTTAACTTACTTCCAGCTGCGTGGTTTCGGAACGGATTCAAATCAACTTTTACTCACGGTACGCTTTTACGTTTACGTCCACGATTTGGGAAAACTGTTGTTGACTCAGAAGAACTAAATGACTTCAAAGAAATTTGATCATTTCCCAAAGGTATGAAAGAATGATACTTCTGAGTACCAGGAATAGTTTTTGCTTTACCGAATCTTTCTTTTAAAGAAGCCTCAAGAAGATTATGTTCTTTCTGCGTAGAAAAGTAATCAGATGTACTTACCAGATTTTCTTTCGACCAATTAAAAAGTGCCTCAGCTGTTAAAATTTGCTCAGAAGGAGGAAGTTGCAAGCTCGCTCGTGCTGCTAACCTTTTCAGATTTCCACCTATGCCGTCACAGGGACCTTTTCCATGCGCTGTCGCGTGAAAGTGCCATTCAGCGTCAACATCAAAATCTTCCTTATGCTTCATTAGATTAGCAAAATTAAACCGATTTTTATATTGTTGAGCTGCACCGTCAGTAAAATATATTATTTTGGTCATCGGTATATTTCTCTCACGCAAATGATTCATAAGGATTCTTTGGAAAGCATGGACAGCTATGGTGTTGTGCTTCAGATCATTGGAAAGGATTGCCATACTCTGGTGTTTCAAATCTTGATTTTGTTTATAATAATAAACAACAGTATGGATGGACACTTGGTCATTGTTCCAATGGAACGTTTGAGCAGCATTTTGGGCAACAAATGCATAGTTTTCTGCGAAATCACAGAAAACTAGCACTTCCCCTTCTTGAAGCGTTTGTTTTCTGAGTGACAAATAGCTTGCTTGTTGCCTGGCTATAAAATCATGGACCCTCAAAGAAATTAATTTTTCGCATAAATCTTCTATAAATTCATTAGTTTCTTGAATTCGAGTCATTAATGTGGATCGATCTGTGCTTTCCCATATTTGATACTCAATTCTGTCAATACCTTCACCATCAAAAAGATCTTCCAAGAAGTTCTTAATAATATCAACATTGTCTTGACATTGTTGACACTCTCCTAAGTGACAACTTGGCGTAGGGGTATCAAAGACTATAATTTTCAAGAAATCTTTATACGAAGTGAGTTTTAAATCTGCAGATTTAGTCAAAGAAGGTATAGAAGACCCATCAATCATCAAATGTACATTTTCATGATATGTACATACGCAGACTGAATGGGTTCCACTTGAACCTGCTAGAACGCAATGTTTAGGTCGCAATCGAGCAAAAGTAGAGAATCCTATTTTGCAATTAGGATTTTCGATTTTAAAAAGGTTAAAAAGTTCTGAAAGGTTGCATAAAATTAAACGCTTTTGTGTATGTGTACGAGTTCCATCCGCTTGTTTGACCGATACAAAATCTTTTTTGCCCGGTAAAAGGCGACTATTTATGTCATTTTCATAGAAGTTTAAGACCACATTTTTTACTTCTTCAGACAAAGGATGCCCACAATTTTTATTTTCTGTCCCTTGTCTTGCTTTTTTCACAAATGACCTTGAGCAACCAAATATTTTGGCAATCTTTCTTTCGCTCCATGAATCCGGCATAAGAATCAAAATTTCCTTTCTTTTCAAATTATTTGTGAGTGGATTATGAAATAAATTTTTCAATTTCTAAACCATTTTGGTAAAATGAAAAGCATTTCCGGCAATGTCTATATCCTCTTCATCAGGTGACCAATCACTGTCCAATTCATTCTCTGATTCGGATTGAGTGATCACTTCTGATTCTAAAATGTGAGGAATTTCAATGAGAAAATTGTCAGGCCAACCTTCTTTGAAAACTTTCTTGCGACATTTATCGCACAGAAACATTGTTTTCGGTACATTTTCGCCATTAATATTTGATCCATCGATTTTACGAACATTTCCCTTTTTATGGATTGTGAATTTGAAAGGATTTAAACATTTATCGGCTGGCATTATTTTTTATAGATAGGTTAAAAATTAATACCATCTAATATTAATAGTCTAAAAAATTGAAAAAGCGATGTCTCGAAGAGCGTATCAAAATAAAGGTATAGTCTTGTAAGGACTAAGGTGAAGGAAATGAATGTAAGCAAGCAGAAAAATGAAACCAAGAGTGATACTTGTTTATACTATTTCGAGTTACCAGTATATAGTATATCTAATAATAATGTGAATATATTTATTCACTATGTAAAATTGAACTGTAATTCATGAAATTTTATGGAAGCTGTGATATTCCAATTATATGAAGTTTTGTCAATAAGTAAAATACCCGTCGTAATTCATTATTTTTTTACAATAATTAATCATAGAATTGAAGTCCAGAATTTTATAATACAATGAATTTTTAATAATACAGGGTGAAAAACCAACTTGACATATTCCAAAAAATGTGTTTTATTCAAAAACTCCTAAATAATATGTCACTGCCTAACACAATGGTGAAAATGGTAATAACAAATTCACAATTGATGAAATGCACCGCATCATATATTCACCTGTCACTCGTACGCATATGAATGTCCCAAAATGAAACTTGGGTGGTAAAAAGTTTATGAAATAAGGAACATTTTAAGGTATATTTGAAAAAATTTGAAGGGGGAAAGGGGGGGGGCATTGAAAAAAGATTTTTTTTTTGCTTTTTTCGGGGAAAAAATAATTTTTTTCAAATAATCAATAATTTTATTTAAAACTTTGGAAAATTCTCTACAAAAAACACCTATAAAATTTTAAAATCCATTAATATGGAAAAAAGATATTGCCATTTGAAAATTACCCTGTAAAAAAATTCAGCCCCTGAAAACATGGCAACCACGCATTACACAGACCTAAAAACCTACTCTACATACTTGTTTTTATGTACACTTCAACATACTTCATTGCCAAAAAAACTTTTTTTAGGGTGGCTTTTTGCTCAGAGAATGCCTCAAATACCAGAAATCTCGTAGAATATATTTCAATTACACGGAAAGAAAATCCTTTGCAATAAATATTAAAAATGATACAAAAATTTAGTATATTCTTTGGCAAGTCATGGAAACTAAGGCTATTTATTAAAAATGAATATATTTTTAACAAAAGCTTTGTAGAAACAAATTTTAACAGAAATTAAAATTACTTTTCTAAAATTCATAAGAAGGTTTTCTTATTTTTACTAAAACTATATAAAAAAAAGGAAGCGGAATTAAAAAGCGCGCATTTCGTTTGCTAAAACTATACGAAAAATTGAAAATGACGTTCAAATAAAAGAAATTTTTTTTTCATTATTTGCTACCTGTCGAAGGATTGGGTCATTGTTGTTAATTGTTCTCCATTGTAGTACAGGATGCAGGTATGGTTTATATACACAACTACACATGCACGCAGGTTCGCTTTGATTTTCTTAACATATATCCCTACCTAACTTATCGAAAATACGCATATGAGAGATTCTTTTTCAATCGCCCCAGCCCAAAAAGTCAATGTTCTGGGATTGGCTTCATACTTTGGTAAATTGTTGTCCTATATGATAGTAATAAATCCCTAAAATATAAACTC